TGTATGTTTGACACAAATAAAACGAATCAACATTCTTATGTCGCCCCATACTGAAGTAATTTTTAATGTTGTTTTGTTTATCGCATGCAACATCATCAAAAATCATGATTGAGTTTGGCTTTATTTCGTCCGTTTGTATAACATCGTCATTGTTATTAAATGTATACAATCTCATCCCCTTTATAGTGGATATCAGTTTCTTTAGGTACTCATATTTTGTCTGATACAGCGATTTTGAGTAAATGTAAACATTTTCAAATTTTAATCCATTGGGGCTTTCTATCAAACTAAGCATCACATTAGTCTTTCCACAATTTGATGGTCCTACTATTAAGGCTCGTATAGAATCAGGCAGCAAAGTACTATGTCGAGGGGTCTTTCTTTGCATAAAATCCACATTTTGAACAATTATTTTAGCTTGTTGTTCCAGTAATCTCATGATTTAAACTAATGAGTAGTTTTAAGAAAACATTCATATTTATAATATAATCAAATATCGATATTTCTTTCGTTCAGCGTCCCGCTAAAAAGTATAAAATGATTGTTTACAACACGAAGCGATTTATTAGAAAGAAACACGTTCAAGGAGGAGGACTGGTAAATAAGTTGATTAACTCTTTACCCGTTGAACTTCATTTACCAGGATATCAATTTTGTGGACCTGGAACAAAGCTAGAAAAACGTATTCAAAGAGGAGATCAAGGTATTAATCCATTAGATGCAGCGTGTAGAGCACACGATATTGCCTATTCACAAAATAAAGATATTGAACAACGTCACATTGCTGATCGTGAACTAACTGAACGGGCTTGGGAGCGAGTAAAATCGAAAAATAGTAACATTGGAGAAAAAATTAGCGCATATCTTGTAACTAACATAATGAAGGCTAAGACAAAGCTAGGCATGGGTAATAAAAACCCCAAACAAATATTGGGTCAACAACTTTTTAAAAACGCTTTAAAAAAAGCTACAAGTTCCCTTAAAAGCAAAAAACCAACTGATATTGATGAAGCCATAAAAATAGCTAGACATGAAATACAAAAGACGTTTCGAGGAAAAAAATCAAAGGTCGTTATACCGCGAGTAATAAGCGTGCCCAAAAGAGGTGGATTTCTTCCTCTCATTCCCATTCTAACTGGATTAGGAGCATTGGGAGCCTTAGCATCGGGTAGTTCAGCAATTACCAATGCCGTTTTAAATGCAAAAAAAGCCAAACAAGAGTTGGATGAACAAACCAGACATAACAAAACAATAGAAGCTATAGCTATGGGTAAAGGTCTCTATCTCAAACCATATAAAAAGGGCTATGGAATTTATGTTGATGAAAATAAAACTCCAAAAAACTAATTAAGCAGCTACCCAAAGGTCCTCTAACCGATGTAAATATTAGTTTTTTTGGGAAAAAATATATACCTCACTTTAGAGGTGTTTATATGCGTGATAATCTACCTAAGAAACCACATCGAATTGAATGTGGTATCATAAATTTGGATGTTAGCAGTGGACCTGGCACGCATTGGGTGGCATATAATAAAATCAATAATAATATCGACTATTACGACAGTTTCGGTAATCTTCAACCCCCGATAGAAGTTTTACGCTATTTGGGACCAGCTATTACATACAATTATAAAAGAGATCAACGATTTCATACATACAATTGTGGACATCTTTGTTTAAAGTTTTTATTGGACATGAACAAAATTTTATAAATACTCCAACATCGATGATATCCCCTCCATTCAAATTCAACTTTCCTAAGAAGATGATTGAAATCAATAGATCGGATATTGCACTGGTTGATTTTCAATATTGCCATGGAAACCACAAGAGTATTTTCGTGAAGGAACTATCATATATGTGTGGTGCTTCTGTTGTTCCACATTATTTTTTGTTTCGTCCACCTTTTAATATAAAAGAACTTACTGGGGAAGCATGCAGAACAAATGCCTACACCAAGACACATGTGAATGGCTTAGATTGGACAGATGGAGAAAAAAATTATAATGATGTCGAGAAAGCTCTTACACCATTGAACAATTATCAATATATTTTTGTTGTTGGACAAGAAAAGAAAATCTTTTTACAGAAATATATTCATTCTACCATTATAAATTTAGAAAATAATATGAAACTTCGAGCTTGCCAAAATTATTTTACAAACTGTCCTATACATTTGGACACTAGATTTAAGTGTGCCGTAAATAATATATTTAAGATATTTGTATTCATTGAACAAAACTGGAAAGAACTTGGCTACATACTAGACGATGAAATTAATAAAGTTAATAAATAAAAACAAGCAACTGTATTATTTGCATAAAACTTTATTTAAAGCATTAAAGGTAATGAAAGTGAACAATAATAAGAAAATGGGTGAACATTTACTCGCTCCACGACCACAAACATCTACACCAATTTCAGAAGGTGTACAATTCCAATTTTTTGAAATAGTTGGGACATTAGTTGTTTCACACCCTTCCAGTAATGGGCAACGATATGTCAACCTTGAATGCTCAGTAACAGGACAATCAGTTTGATCCCAACTATGAATGTTTACTTTACAAAAATAACATCTGGTAATATCTCCTACTCCAGTATAATAAAGTCCTACTGCAGCCATTGTCTTGGGATCTGGATAATTTAAAGGCCAGCGAGCAAAGGTTTTTAAGCGTTCGTCTTCCTTATTAAGAAGAGACATCTTCCTTTCTAAAGCTTCACTAATAAACTGAAATATTTCTCTGCACACATTAAAATGAAAACAGCTTGCAATTTTTAGTTTCAAACAAAATATTTATTTACTTTTCAGTTTATGTTAAATATGGTTGATAAAAATAATCTGGTTGATCCAAATGTTTTAATTCTAGTTTGTAAAGACTCTTTCCGCTTCCATCTTTCAACACAGTTTTCGTCACAGAATAACCCCCACCAGCTATTTCTTTTATGTATTCATCCGCCAGCGAGAGGAATCTTGACGGCAAATAGAGGATAGCATCATTAATTTTCAGCACAATTCTTTCCCCATATTTTGTATTTGTTCTAAAGGCGCCATGGATGTTGTATTCTTTGTTATCCTCCATTTCTTTCAAAGTTATTATTTTTTTATAACTGAAAGAATTGAATAAGTTTATTAAATCTGCGTTCGCCATAATATCACGTTCAATGTTTAATTTTATACTGTGAGCCTTACTTGAAATTGTCTTCTATATATACGAATATTTAACGCGAATTTCACAATATTACAGAGTTACTAGAGTTTTTAATTTTGAGCATAGTTAAGCATGTTCTCATTCATGCTCCAATCTATCGTTGAAGCAGAATTTGTCATGAAACTCTGCAACAACGCTTCCCCCCAAATTCTCATATCCATTTCACAGAAATCCAATTGTTAGTTAATGTAAACAATGGTGTTTCCTTCTTCAAATCCCTTCAATCTTCAATACCGAATTGATGCAGGGTTTGTCATGAAACTCTTTCAGTTTCAATTCTCTCAAATTGCTACATAATGTAAACAAATTCTTCATCGACAAAACTATCAAAAAGCGATCGATATAATGTATCAAAATGCCTGTCCACACAAGAAGAATTTGCTTTGATTGGCTACAGCAGCATTTTTTTAGTGTGTATATGCTACAACATTAATTGGTGGTTAGATGTCGCCTATATCGTTTCGAGGGAAATGACTGGAGAGCCATCTGGACAAAATAATAGAACACACATCTTCTTGTTGACTATGATACTAACCAAATTTGTCTCTGCTATATTCACTTCTCATATGGTGGATCTCTCTAGCCCCATTCGATATGATCATATTTCAATAGTTTTGGAGTGTGTCTATGCTACAACATAATTTATGGATAGTATGGATGGAACTCACCGTTAGATGTCGCCTATATCGTTTCGATGGGAATAACTGAACATTTTTGAGTCGCTAAAATTATAGACAAATTAAAACAAGTACAACGAAAAGTTAGTTTTGTCTTTTTATCTCATCATGTTTTGCATAGCCAACATGCTGATTTTCGTGTTCAACCCACTCGACTTCGTTATCGTTTTTCAAGAATTTCACTTGATTATTCCGGAATTTTTCGATGTCATTTCTTTGTCTATATTTTCATTTATATTTTCATCTATGCTGAAATTAAAACCCCTGAAATATCAATAATTGCAGCATATTTGTCAATTGAAACTCTTCTATAATATATCACATTTATTGAAGTCGATTTCTTGAAATATATGTTTTCAAATAAATTAATAAGCACATTTGACTGCAGTAATCAGCATGTTGACTATATAAAAGCATTCTGAGAGCCATCTAGATAAAATGATTTTCTTCGATACTTACCTCTTTCAGATGTGTTTCTGCTATATTCACTTCTCACATGGTGAATCTCTTTAGCCCCACTCGATATGATCATAATACATTTTTTTTTTTTCGGAGGGTGTCTCTGCTAATGGTGAATATTAAAACTTGAAATGTCACCATCCCATACACAGTTTTGGATCGTGTCTGCGCTAAACTTAGCGCCATCTAGTAGTTCATATTAAAACTAGCAACGCCAACAGCCCCAATAAAATTTGACGTGGTACAATTCAAAAGACAACATCCCCAATATAATTTGCCGTGGTACAATTCAAACGACAACATCCCCAATATAATTCACCGTGGTACATTTCAAAAGACAACATCCCCAATATATTTCACCGTGGTACATTTCAAAAGACAACATCCCCAATATATTTCACCGTGGTACATTTCAAAAGACAACATCCCCAATATATTTCACCGTGGAGAATTTACCCTAATCAACATCCCCAATAGAATTTGCCGTGGTACAATTCCCAAGACAACATCCCCATTAAAATTCACCGTGGTGAATTTACCCAAATCAACATCCCCAATAGAATTTGCCGTGATAAATCGTGGTGAATTCCCAACATCCCCATAAGCACACTACTAACTCTGATGGTCGTAAACAAGAGATTCCTTCTTATTTATTATTTTATAGTTTTCTCTTTGCAAACCGCTTAGTGTAGCCGAGGACTTTGACATAAGTGGGTGTTTTTGGAAATTTTGCGCGTGTGGATTAATTAAAAAACAACAAAATTATGGCACAACAATTAATTGGAAAATTAGCCATTGTAACAGGTGACACAAAAAAAAACAAACACTTTGACATATCAATTAAAACAAAACAATTCATTATTTAGGCGCTGGAAGTGGTATCGGTCGCAGCACTTGTCGTCTATTAAGAGATTATGGGGCCAAAGTCATAGCAGCTGATCGTAACATAAAGGCGGCAGAGGAGACGGCAAAAGAATTGGGTGATCGTGGTGAGTATTTTTTCTACACGTTTTTCTCTCTTTTGTTCGGCTTATCAGAGAATGTGGTGAAAATGTAATCTTTTATGCCTCAAAGTATGCCACAGAATCCTACGCAGTGGTAAAAATATTCTATTCGGAGTAAAATATTATTGTCACCCTTAAAATATGCAATTATAATGAACTAGGTTTTTTCGTTTTCAGACATATTCCCCTTGGAAGTTGATGTCTCATCACTGCAAAGTGTAACCAATGCTGTTGGCAAAACCTACGAACAATTCCAAACAACGCCATCCATTGTTGTCAACTCGGCGGGCATCACACGCGACGGTTACCTTTTGAAAATGCCCGAACGTGACTACGACGATGTGTACAGCGTCAATCTGAAAGGTACATTCATGGTAACACAGCAATTCGCCAAAGCCATGATTGAACATAAAATCCAGGGTGGTAGCATTGTTAACATTTCCAGTATTGTTGCCAAAATGAACAACATCGGCCAGGCTAATTATGCTGCCACAAAGGCTGGCGTGATATCGTTTACGGAAGTAGCTTCAAAGGAATTCGGTAAATTTGGCATTCGTGTCAATGCCATACTTCCTGGCTACATTAATACACCTATGGTCGCTGTTGTACCGGAAAAAATTAAGGAACAAGTTGTGATGCGTTGTCCATTGGGTCGCCTGGGAGAACCGAGTGAAATTGCTGAAGTCATTGCATTTTTGGCATCCGACAAATCGTCGTATATTAATGGTGCTGCCATTGAGGTGACTGGTGGTCTTAAGTGAGTGATGATGGAGTAGAGTAAATAATGGAATCACTCATAGTCGGTGGTTTTAAATGCATTTAATAGGATATAAAAACTAAACTATTTTTACCTCACTTTTTAAATTGTTGATATTTTAATAAAGTCGTTTTTTTTTTAAATTTTTTTTTGTTGAATTCAAAGTAGTTGTTACATATTTGTAATTAATACATGCTAAAAATACGGAATCGAAAAGATAACAGCCATATGTTTGTAATTATGTTCAGAAAAATTCGACGAAGGAGTTTATAGTAATATCAAAAGAAGTTAGGTAGTATTGGTCGCGTATTCAATAGATATATGCCTTCCACATACCCCCTAGACGATGAAATCAATTGTGCACCCTACGAAATTATTTCTTCTATTTTGAATTGGGAAAATTTTCAATGAATTTTAAAATCGAATTGAAAAATTGTTCAAAATACTGAATATTCGGAGGTGCCATTACATATTTTTAGACAAATTCGGAAAAAATGTGTCAAAAATTATCAAAATACCAAATATATCGGGAGGTACCGTTACATGGAAGCTATACAAAAACGTGTTCCTATACAGGGTTGTCCATATTTGACGGACCCATCTGGCAACGCCATAATTTTTGACAGAGATGACACATCGCTTAATGACATACCGCGTTTGAAGCGTCAGTCCAAGCAGATTTTTACCATGAACCAATACACGCCACGCGAGCGCTCTGAAATTCAACAAAATTTACATTCAACAGAAGAAGTCAATTGTGAAAACTCAACGTGCTTCTAAAACATTAAAAAATGTGAGAAGTGCGCCTTCTAAGAACACCATTAAGCGTTTATACGAAAAATTTTCGACTGCTAAGGCTCTTTCTAATCCGAAGAGGCCATATAAAAGTCGACCAGGGCGATCGGCCGAGAATATCGCTGCCGTACGAGCCAGTGTTGAGAGGTCCTCAAGAACATCCCAAAAACGCCGTTCTCAGCAGTTAGGCATGGCCCGGTCCACTTTACAACGGATTATTCGCATTGATTTCCATTTTTTCCCGTACAAAATTCAATTGACGCAAAGAATGTTGCCTGCGGACAAGCCTCGTTGATTGGAATGGGCCCTAAAAGTCATGGGTCCGTCGAATATGGGCAACCCGTATACTGGGTGAGGTAAAAAAACTGCAACAAAGGCATTGGTCACATTTGGCACGCATTATGGTCTTTAAACGGCCAATGAAATTGTCACACTCTGTCCGAATGTTGATCTGCGGTATTTTGACCCATTGCCGGTGGTATTTTCCCCATTAGGGCCAACCTTGCTTTTCAAACTACTCCAGACACAATAGTCCAACGGATTGGTATCCGGAGATTTTGGTGGCCATTTTGCTTTGGAAATGAAGCGGGGAACCTCATTTTGTAACCATTCTTGGGTGGCGCTTGCTGATTGCGATGGTGTTGAGTCCTGTTGAAATGTCCAAGGTCTGCGGCCAAAATGTTTAAAATACCCTCCAGATTTTTTTCGCGATATTATTCGGCATTTTTTTTTATTCCACGGTCGATTAATATGAGGAGAGCGACCATCGGCTGTTTTGGCGGCCCACACCATCACCATGACCGGCGTTTGAGTTCTGGTGGCCAACCGAAGGTTCACATTTTCAGCTGATCTCTTTGGCAAGTAAACACAATCATTTTGTTTGTTTACAAACTGCTGGACAACGAATGTTTTCTCATAGGAGAACTCCAGTTCGTCACTTTCGCCCAAGCGAAGCAACCCTTTAGCTCTTTTGAGTATATTTTCTTTCTGAAGCGGTGTAAGTTCTTGCACTTTTTGGAATTTCAATGGCTTTATCCTGAGCTCATTTTTCAATATTTGCCGAATGGAATATTGCGATATGTTCAGCTCATGAGGCTTTTTCGGCCACTGTGACGCGGATTTCGATCAAGTCACTTCTTTACATTTCGAATCATTTCTGCTGATGTTGCTGTTTTCTTTCTTTCAGTATCACGGTAACGATCGATGGTATGAGACACAAAGATTTATTCACATTTAAATGCTGGAGTGCTCTAACAATAGTCACTTGTGGTTTCCAGCCAAACATAAAGAAATCACTCTATCACGCTTGAATTCCATCACGAATAATGTTTTTGGAAAATTCTCACCACAATACTTTTGTACGCTTGTAAACAAAATACTGAGCTGTCGCTGGAATAATATTCACAGCTGTCGGACGAGTGGCTTAGAAATGACAGCAGTCTGAATTTGATTGCAGTTTTTCATCACACCTTGTATAACATTCCAATTTTTTCCGTTTAATAAATACCAAATGATAACATTTTAGAGGTTTAGTATCAATTTAGAACCATAAAATTCGAATTTCCAAAATCGTCTATTGGTACATATATCATATACCCCATCAAAGCATCCATTCCAAACTTCCGAATTGTAGCTCATTCCGTTTGTCAAATACAAAATTTTGGAAATTAAGTACATTTTAGCACTTTTCGTGGCCTCCATACTCCATAAAAGATCCTCTTCTTATTATATTCATATTACATATTATCTGTCGGAGGTGTTTTAAACTCCGCCGAAACCAAAATTCAAAATTTTACCCAAATCAATTAGAAACAAGTTAAAAAGTATCAGTCGGTTTTGCCGACAGATGTATACCCTCAGCCAATGCTCGATTATTTTTATATATTGGGACTTCTGCCAATATTGTCCATTTGGTATCGGACTTAAATAAATATGGTATAAATATTGCGATATGCCAGGACATGCCAGGACCCTATGTGGGTGAGGTACCAGAAGGAGTATGCCGATATATTCCATCTTCACACCAGACCTTGGGTTAATAAAAATATTGTGATATGAGTAATTTGAAGACATTCGGATTCTTACATCAAAATTTTGGCCTTTGCGGGGGAGGTACCAGAAAAATTGGTCCGATCTCTACCATCTTTATAATAAATCTTGTGTTGATAGAAATATTGAGATTTGCCAAGTCTTAATGGAATCTTTGTTAATTTCCCATTTTATGAGCTTCCTGGATCAAAATGTTGACTCTATATGGGGGAGGTACCAGAAAGAGTGGACCGATTTATTCCGTCTTCACACCAGACCTTGGGTTAATAAAAATATTGTGATATGTGTAATTTGAAGACATTCGGATTCTTAAGTGTTATAATTATTAAAAATTTTGGTCCTTTGTGGGGGAGGAACTCGATTGAGTGGACCATATTGCCCATTTTCGCGCCTGGTCTAGAGATGATGCAAATATTAGGATTTGCAAAGTTGGAGTGGAATCAGAATTATCCTTTCTCTTTCCGTGCATTAGAATATCTGAACAAAAGTAGTGCGTATATTACGAAATAAAAATGTTAATTAAAAGTTGTAAATAATTTTCTTTGCCACCAGTCAAAAAAAATATTTAGTTTCCTTTTCAATTTTACCTCTCATGCACCTCCCCCTTACACATAATTAAATTAACATTTTTTTCTTTTTCTAATATTCATTTATATTTTTTGTCTTTGTATAAATGTATGCTAGATCATTTATTTGTTAATTTCTCTATTGAATTTTTTTCCCCTACACGTTTTTGTCACTTAGTTCTTGGGCACAAAACGACGGCGTTTGACAATCTTGTTCTTCTTGTTGCGTTTACGGATGACACGCTTCTTGACAACGCGACGTTTGTTGTTGCGATTGGCATTGTTGAGGATAACACGTTGGCCGTTCTTGAAATAGCCACGGTATTTGGGTGGAATACGGACACTGACAACACGACCATTCTTGGAGCCACGGCGTCTCAAGTTGACGCGAGCTGAGCCGTTGTCAACATGACCATCGGAGGTGCCGCTGATTTCTTGATCGGTAACAATGTATTCCTCGGCACCGGCACCCAAAGCAGCAGCCAGTTCCTGATTGTCAACAACAGCAGCTTCTTCGGGTTCATCGTCGGCGGCTTCTTGGTTGTCATAGGATCCGCGACCGATCAATTGGATGCGTTGCAGTGGTCGTTTTCTCTTGCCAGCTCCAGCACCAGCATCATTGCCAGCACCACCAGTACCTCCGGTACCTCCATTTCCAGTTCCGGTAGTTGGTGTAACCGTGATGGTACCAGTAGCTGTGGGAACGGTACCGGTGGATGTGATGGTTGTGGTTGGTGGGGTGGTGCCAGTGGCGGTGGTAGTTGTCACTGGAGCGTTGCCACCTCCGGTGATGATAATGGGAATCACAGGTTGTTTCTGGCCAAACATATTCTTGAACAGCATGAACTTCTTCATAAACAAGCGGCCACTGCTGCCATCGCCTTTCTTGCTGCCACCCTCAACAGCATCGTCGGCCTGTTGTCCATCATCGGCATTGTCGGCCACCTCAACGGTGCTATCGTCATTAATTACTTCGGCAGCACGGAATTTGGCTGAAATTAAACACGAAATTGAAATTATCCATGCCAAGACAACTGACATGCTCTATGCCACCGACTTACCTTTAGCTGGTTCGGGTTCTGGTTCGGGGGCGGCAAAAGCCACAGCCACCAAACTGGCTGCCAGGATCAGGGTGAAAGTAAAGGTCTTCATAATTGAAACTACTTTTCGTTGGCAAAAAGAACTTTTCAATTGTTGTCGCCGTCTGTGTCTCTAAAACCAGTGAAGGCTTTGATTGCAAATCGATGTTTGATACCGTTTCAATGATAGTCCCGGTCTTTTTATACACATCCAGATCCCAGAAATGATTATTGCCATTATTTGCCATAGATAGCAAAAAGTAAATATCATTTCTCTGTACATATGGATATGGCCATGTGTGTAGCCATCGAGTCTCAATGAAGCAGAAATTTCAAGTACACCAGCCATGGGCTACGCACAAAAGCCATGCCAAGCCAAGTCAAGCCAGACCAAGATCAAGAACTTAAAAGAAAACCAAAAATGCTCTAAGCGATTTTTTCTCCAATGAAGTAAGGAAAGAAAGAAATTTCTTTGCTGTCATGGTAGTGGCAACAAATCCGTCCATCATTAACGCCATCGTCATGATGTTCAATTTCTAATCATATCATTTACATACAAATGAAATTGAACTACCAGCAGCTATTCGCAATTCACTTTCCAGTTTCAATGAGCATGTATGTGTGTAGGTTTTGATTATAGAAATATTTACATGTATATGTGTATTCGCAGTTCCATGAATAACTCCACATGTTGGAGCCCTAGGTAGAAAATTTGCTAAACGGTCAAATTGAATTTTGTATCTAAAAATTGTCAAGTCATTGGATACACTTTCTCGTAATTTGGAGCAGACTACATTTTTTGTGGCAAAAAATAGTTGAACGATATTAGTTTGGAAATACCAGACCGGTCCATGTCAATCACAGCATGAAATATGGGTTGAACTCCTTCCAACGGTTCTCACACTTCGAATAGTTGAAATTCTATGCAAACGGTTTTAAAAATAAGTATAAAATAAATATCTATATCTATAAAAGAGGAAAATGTTTGTATGTTTGTTTGTTTGTTTGTTTGTTTGTTTGTTTGTAATTTATGGACTCGAAAACCGCTGAATAGATTTTCCTGAAAATTTCCATATATACTGCAACATCGCCTGAAAGTAACATAGGCTATATACATTTTTGAATTTCCACTTGGAACTGGAGATATAGCATCAGAATCGGAGATACCTCCCAAAAATTTAGATTTTATATGCACATATCTATTGATTGGTTGAAGATACAGTCTCCAAATTTGGAATACGTAACGGAATTTGGAACAAAAATAAGTTTGCCAAATTATATTGTAATCCGTTCAGATTTGGATATAGCTCCCATATATATTTTCGACCGATTTCGTTCATTTGATGCCTCAAACACAATATGAATGTTCGATTCCAATGAAATTTGGAATGTGTGACGGGATTAAATCCGAAAATAAATTTGTCAAATTATATTGAAATCGGTTCAGATTTGGATATAGCTCCCATATATATTTTCGGCCGATTTCAAGCATTTGATGCACCAAACACGCTATGTATCCCCAATTTCAATGAAATTTGAAACGTGTGATAGATTTTATCTAAAAAATTGATTTCCCTAATTATATTGAAATCGGTTCAGATTTGGATATAGCTCCCATATACATTTTCGGCCGATTTCATGTATTTGGTGGACCAAACAGGACGTATTTTCAATTGTAAAGAAATTTAAAATAAGTAACGGAATTGGGAGCCAAAATGAATTTGTAAAATTAAATTGAAATCGGTTCAGATTTGGATATAGCTCCCATATATATTTTCGACCGATTTCATGTATTTGATGCACCAAACACGCTATGTATCACTAATTTCAATGAAATTTGGAATGTGTAGCGGAAATTAAAACAAATATAAATTTGTCAAATTATATTAAAATCGGTTCAGATTTGGATATAGCTCCCATATATATTTTCGGCCGACTTCAAGCATTTGATGCACCAAACACGCTATGTATCCCCAATTTCAATGAAATTTGAAACGTGTGATAGATTTTATCTAAAAAATTGATTTCCCAAATTATATTGAAATCGGTTCAGATTTGGATATAGCTCCCATATACATTTTCGGCCGATTTCATGTATTTGGTGGACCAAACACGACGTATTTCCAATTGTAATGAAATTTAAAATAAGTAACGGAATTGGGAGCCAAAATGTAAAATAAAATTTGTAAAATTAAATTGAAGTCGGTTCAGATTTGGATATAGCTCCCATATACATTTTCCGCCGATTTCACATATTTGATGCACAAAACACGATACGTATTACCGATTCCAACGAAATTCGGCATGAGTGGCTAAATTTGGTACAAAAATAAATTTTACAAATTATATTCAAATACGCTCAGATGTGATTATAGCTCCCAAATATATACTCAGTCGATTTCACATATTTGATGCACCCAAAGCGAGAGAGACAAAATCTGGCACCAGCAAAAATTGCCAAATTATATTGAAATCAGTTGAGGTTTGGATATAGCTAACATATATATTTCGGCCGATTTCATACATATTATGCACCAAACACGATATATATGACCGATTCCAATGAAATTCAGAATGTGTGGCGGAATTTGGTTACAACAATAAATGTGACAAATTAATTGGAAATTAGTTAAGATTTGGATATAGCTCCCACATATATATTCTCGGCCGATTTCAAGCATTTGATGCACCAAACACGCTATGTATCCCAAATTTCAATGAAATTTGAAACGTGTGATGGGTTTTATCTAAAAAATTGATTTCCCAAATTATATTGAAATCGGTTCAGATTTGGATATAGCTTCCATATATATTTTCGACCGATTTCGTTCATTTGATGCCTCAAACACGATATGAATGTTCGATTCCAATGAAATTTGGAATGTTTAACGGGATTTGAACCGAAAATACATTTTTCAAATTATATTGAAATCGGTTCAGATTTGGAAATAGCTCCCATATACATATTCGGCCGATTTCATGTATTTGGTGGACCAAACACGATATGTATATCCAATTTCAATGAAATTTAAAATAAGTAACAAAATTGGGAGCAAAAATAAATTTGTCAAATTATATTAAAATCGGTTCAGATTTGGATATAGCTCCCATATATATTTTCGACCGATTTCATGTATTTGATGCACCAAACACGCTATGTATCTCTAATTTCAATGAAATTTGGAATGTGTAGCGGAAATTAAAACGAATATACATTTGTCAAATTATATAGAAATCGGTTCAGATTTGGATATAGCTCCCATATATATCTTCAACCGATTTCCTTTATTTGATGCACCAAACACGATATGTATGTTCGATTCCAATGAAATTTGGAATGTGTGACGGGATTTTGATTAGAAAATAAATTAGCCAAATTATATTAAAATCGGTTCAGATTTGGATATAGCTCTCATATATATTTTCGACCGATCTCATGTATTTTATGCACCAAACACGATATATATGACCGATTCCAATGAAATTCAGAATGTGTGGCGGAATTCGGTTATAATAATAAATGTGATAAATTATTGGAAATTACTTAAGATTTGGATATAGCTCTCATATCTATATATATTCCGGCCGATTTTACATATTTGAGGCACCAATTTCAATGAAATATGAAAGTTGTGGCGGAATTTGGTGTAAAAGAAAATTTTTTAAAATTATATTTAAATCGGATCAGATTGGGATATGATTTTAATAAGAACCATTTACCCACAACGCCTTAGGCTAACACTAAAAAACAACACAACAATTTATTTGAAATACGCTTATTACGGGGAATTATGTTGCTACATCGAATTCACTAATTGCAATATAAATGCCATTCAACTTCAAAAATTGCAGTTTTCTGCACGCTTGGTACTTGCTATGAAATAAATGAATCCAAAGGACAAACCCTTCCTGTATGCACTGATTTTTTAATGACTTTGTTTATTAACATATTAAAGTAGTGCAATATTTTTTTTAATTAAGTAAATAAAGTAAATAAAATTTTGAATGCATATAGAATCAAAAGGGGTAGCGACGCGCACCGGGTTCAGCTAGTTATATATAAAACACAAAGTACCTAAGTAAATATTGTTGAGTAAATAAGACTGATCACAATTTCTGACGCGGAATAATAAATTTGATAAAAACGGGTGGAAGGTTCTATAAATTGTTAACGACAGAGTTAGCAATTATTATCGATTGCTTATAGGAAAAATACACCATATTACGAATTTAGAGCTTACAAGTAAAAAATTAGCTAAGTTTGGTAGGGTCGATTTTTTTTTTCCCTACAACATTTGGAAGAAATTTGGAAAATGTAAAAAAAAATGCCTCTAAAATTATCAAAAAAACGAATTTCGGATGGGAGAGTTACATTGGAACTAAACAGAAGCTTAGGCTTGCATTGACAATTATCTGTCAGAGAAGGTATATTGCGAACTCGAAATAATAATTTTGAGATAATATTCTTAAAAAATGTGGCAAAAATCGGCAAAATACGGAATATCGGAAGTTACCATATATGGACCTTCATAAGTAATTTTCTCATGTAGGAAGTTGTACTCATTACTTGCTCCAAATAACAAATTTGGATTAAATACGTCAAAAGAGTGATACGAATCATCATAATACCCAATATCGTAAAGCTAAGTCTATGTATATAAATTTCTATCAGAGAATATAATGCCAATTGTCAAAATAAATACCAAATTTAAAATAATTCCTTTGAATAATATCGCTAAAATCATCAGTATTAAGAATATAAGGAGGTAGCATTATATCGGCGCTAGACGTAGCCGTAACTGCATATGTAATTTTCCGTCAGGAAGTAGAACACATGCGAAGCCCAAATTCTAAAATTGAATTAATTCCGGTGAAAAATGTGGTCAAAATCGTGAAAATACCGAAAATCAAAACGTGCTGTTATATAGGAACTCTACGAAGACTATATGTACCGGCAATTTTCTGTCAGAGGACGGAGCACCCATTACAACCTCAAAATACATAATTTGGCTGAAATTCGGAAAACACAGAATATCGGGAGGCATAGTTATATGGGGGCAATACGAAGCCGTGGAACTTTTAAGATACTTTTTTGGCATGCGAAGTAGTAGCCATCACAAACTCCAAGTACCAAATTCGAAAAAAGTCCCATGAAAAATGTGCCACAAATCTTGGAAATATAGAATATCAGCGGATAATGATATCGAATATCGTGGAGACTATACCAAAACTTGGAGCCATATGAACCGTTCTCTCCATAGACGTTTCCTACATATAAGGAACAAAATTTACAGTGAATTAAGTTGAAAAATATTGCAACACAGCCGGAACATCATTAATCTGGGGGTACAGGTATATGGGCCCGATATACCCCATTTTCAATACCAAAATTTTACGGGCCTAAAATACATCTAATTGTTATCAATAATTTCGTTCGGAAGCTAGAAAGAGCTGGAGACGGATAGAAGGACGGACATGGCTAAATCGATATAGAATCGTATGCTGATCAAGAATATATACAATATATCGTGATATCTAAAATTCCTATTTTAAAAAGTTACAAACGGAATGACAAGCTCAAAATACCCTCCATACTATATATGATGGAGGGTATAAGAATTAAAAGCATGCGATCAAAACCCCACAAGAGTTTAGGAGACCTAAGCCACACTTTTTATACCCTCCCCCATTCTATGGAGGGTTTATTAACTTTGTCATTCCGTTCGTAACTCCTCCAAATATTCATAATAGACCCAACTAAGTTTATATATTCTGGATCAGCGTAAAATTCTAAGATGATCTAGCGATGTCAGTATGTCTGTCTGTTGTAACGAATTGAGATAAAAGGCTGCATACATGCATAGTTTACCAGTAGGCAGGTTAGGTTTGTAACGTTTTCGTATAGCCCCCATATAATAGCGACATTTGTATGCAGGTCCAAGTTTTCGTATGGTCCCAAATATAATTTTGATGATTTCAGCAACATTATTCACCGGAATTGTTTTAAATTTCGTACTGAAAGATCCTAATGGGTACTACAATCTATGGCAAAATGTTGTATGCAGGTCTAGATCTTCGTATAGCCCCCATATAACGGTACCTCCCGATATTCGGTATTTTCATAATTTTAGCGACATTATTTACGGGAATTATTTCAAATGTCGTAGTTAAAGTTCGTAATGGGTACTACAGCCTAACCCCAAAAATTTTGTATGCAGGTTTATGACTTCGTATAGCACCCATATAACGGTACCTCCCGATAGTCGGTATTTTGACGATTTCAGCAACATTATTCACCGGAATCGTTTTAAATTTCGTATTGAAAGATCTTAATGGGTACTACAACTTATGGCAAAAAATTCGTATGCAGGTCTACGTCTTCGAATAGTACCCATATAACGGTTTCATTTAAGTGGTAGTTTTCTGATTTTTTTATTTTTTTTTTTGAAAATTTTCAAGTTCCTTCTAAATGGTGGAGGGTATTAAAAGTTCGGCCCGGCCGAACTTAGCTACTTTTCTACTTCTTATTCTTTTATATAGCCTTGATAATATAAAAGGGTGAATTTTTAGCTATTGTATTTTTGACAACACTGGTTTAAACAGCTCACGCATGTGGTTAGCGCGCTCATTCTATTATACGGTCAGTTCATTTTTAGCTCAATGGGTACGTAAATAAGCAGAATTATCCATTATGGAGTGAAGATCAAATAAAAGCATTACAAGCTACCATTGCGCTATTTAGTCATGCTTAAAAATATCGCCGGCGGGGTTCATTTATTCCCGAAGGATGCTCCTTCCGTGGTGAGATAGCGATATCAAACGCGTTGATTTCTATCCCTTAAAATCTTAATTCGCTTATGTTAACTATCTGCTGTAAAAATTATTATTTACATCTAAAGCTAATTTTAAGACAAACTATAAAGTCATCTAAAACTTGAATTACCATTTCCATTTATTAGGGTTTACTGTCCACCAAACACGACAGCTTAAGATTGTTTTTTTAAGACATAGGCATGTATCTGCTGATTTGCATTTTTTGAAAAAAGTACTGTTAGGTATCTGTTAAGTGTTGATGTATTCGCCATAATTAATTCATAAAATGTTGATAATTGATTCATAGAGGCTTGAATGAATTTATGAAAATAAACGTTGTTTGATCGCACATTAAGTATGTTTGAATTCACAAAAAAAAAAAAAATAAATATATAAATTAAAAAAATTTACTGTGTTTGATTTTCATGGTAAAATTTCAAAAGCGAATGTTCAAAAGTACTCCGAAAAAGTTTGAGAGTGGGAAGCTAGAGAAAGATATCACTATTTGATGATGATTTAATGAAAATTCGAATATGTGTTGAAACGTTCACAGCACCTAAGAGAAATGCGAATTCAGTTGGCCTATGTGATGCAAATCATAAAATTGGACGATACGGAACGTTAAAATAACATTTTTAAAGGTTATTAAAGAAATAATCAAAAATCGACATAATAACTTGTAATGCATTTTTTTGGAAAATATAATAAAATTTCAGTAATACCATATCATACAGACAATTTTATGTTACAAAGATTGTAATCTCTTGCGAGTCTTAAATACCAAATTTGACATAATTTTGTGAGTAAATGTGACTAGGATTATCAAAATACCGAATATCGGTCTATATACCAAATATTAAATACCGAACCATTGTATGGAATCAGTTGACCAATATGGAAATGTTTTGACACTGGTTGTAGAACCCATAATGAAGGGCAAAGACCAAATTTCACACAAATCGAATGGCAAAATCCAACAAAATACCGAATATCGTGAGGTACCGTTGTATGTAGGCTATACAAAAACTTGGACTTATACATACAATGTTTCGCCACCGGAGCTACAACACATTATGAATCATAAACATCAATTTTTAGATAAATTCGTGGAACAGTTGGAACCATCAAAATGCCGAATATCGGGATGTTCCGCAGCTATATCAAAAAGTGGACCGATATATCTCATTTCCATCCTAGACATAATACAAATTGTTCTGCTAAATTTTGAAGCTCTACGTCATATAATGTGGGCTGTATCGTGATTTCGACAGGCAGACGGGCATCATTAAATCGACTTAGAATTGTATGTTGGTTATGAATATATCTACTTTATGGGGTCTATGACGAATTTTTAATATTTACCCTCCTTTTCATGGCGGAAGATATAAAAAGTGCGGCTTTAAATAGATAAAACGCGTACCGGCGTTTTGAAAGCTTACATGACAAAGGATCCTAACAGAGGTTGCTCGTCCACAGGGAGCATTCTGCGGTTTTATGTCTTGTAGCATTGATGGCAATGGCTTCGATAGAAAGTGCGGAACTATAGCGCTAATAAGTACCACGATGCTCTCCATCGGTACTTCGGTAAATGGCGCCTAAAATTAAATGTAACTAAATGTTGTGCTAGAGCCTGTCATGGTCGGCCGGACATTGATACCCTTATTCTATACGTTATCTGGATTTGTTGGGATCAGGTTTCTGCTTCGGATAATATGGGATATTTAAGCGCTGTATTTTTGGAGAGCTTCGATCGTATTCATGATATAAATACCAATCTGTCATTGGTCAAACGTCTGTTTTTCAGATACAGTGGAATTATAAGAATAAGGGGTGGTCTTTCCCAACAGGTTAGGTCCTTGATCGAACGGCAGGAGATTATCGTCACCTATGATTTCCCCGTCTGGATTGATATTTCGTCTCACAAGACGGAAAGGCTATGATTGTGGGAAAGGAAAATACTTTTCTCTTGTCTGGGCTCCTATAGAACCCATTCCTTTATGCAGATCAGCGACCTGTAGATAGAATAAGGTCTTTATTACGTGGACTGGACTGGCATTCTTAAACAAATGCCAGCATCGTTGAGGGTATAATAATGTGCTCTCAGGATGTAGACAAACTACGAGATCCAAAGTATTTGCCACCAGCCGCCCTTTCCAGGCTGAATGAGCTGGACTTGCTTCACGGAAATGAGGGTCTTTCATACTCTCATAGGATATGTTCAGCCTCGGTTTGGAGTAGCCTAGTAGCCCCAAATGCACTTATTATATTTTCAGTTCCTGAATGTTAATTTCTTTTTTACTTTGCAATATTGATTGGCTTGTGGACAGCCCATATTAGTTCGATCTTTTTTTAATTTTCCCACCCTTGATCCCTGTCTTGATTTGGAATAACAAATTAAAAAACCTTGAATTTCTTTTTTTCACTCATAAATTTGTTCATAGCCTTTATTCAGAATATGTTTGTCTCGTCCGTTTTTGTTCACATCTAAATAACGCGAACCCTGCGTCGGCCACGTGTCAAACGACGAATGAGCCTCCTGCGACTGCGTCTACGGTAACGGTTGTTGCGAATGCGGCGTCTGCGACTTGTGGTTTGGCGGTTGCGGTTGCGACGTCTACGACGACGACTTGTTTGTGATGTACGACGATTGCGGCGAAGTCTTCTACGTCTCAAACTCTTGCGGCGACGGCGCATTGCACGGCGACGCTTCTTCATGGACCTGCGTCTGCGCCTCAAACGCCTGCGCCTTTGACGCTTCTTTTGCCTGCGACGAGTACGACGGAGTCGTCTACGAAAATTTCTGCGAGCCCGTTTTTTGTTTTCTTCCTTGAGTTTGTTCAATTGTCTGTTGACAACGCGGCGGATTTCCTTGCGGTTGGTCATTTGGTTGCCCCGTCTCCTGTTGTTGAGTTGGTTGTCATCTCTAAATTTTTCAAGGCGATCATCATCGTCGTCTTCATCATCATCATCCTCGAAACTGAGCTGCTTATCCTTTTTGTTGTAGTCTTCGTCATCCTCATCATCGAATTCTTCATCGTCGTCCTCGTCTTCATCATCGTCGAAATTCATTTTGTGTCTGCGGAAGTCTTCTTCATCAGCGACTTCGTTATCCTCCGAATCGTCGTTGTCATTATCGGTGACCTTTCTGGCAGCGAGTTGACCATTGAATTCACCAGCTCTGGCAGCGCCCTGACCATTGAAATCACCAGCTCTGGCAGTTGTTGTTGGTGGTGGTGGCGGCGGTGGTGGAGGTGGTGGTGGTGGAGGAGGTGGTGGTGGTGGTGGAGGTGGTGGTGGTGGAGGAGGAGTCTTCGGTGGTGGAGGTGGTGTCTTTGGTGGTGGTGGAGGAGTCTTGGGTGGTGGTGGTGGAGTGGCTACGGGAGCTTCAGTGGTAGTGGTACCTTTGCCCAACAACTGCATAATATCACCGCGAGCTTCGCCTTGGTCATCAGAGAGACCAGCTGAGCGGTTAATGCCCCGGTATAGTCGGTAACCATTTTTGGTGCGTTCCAAGTCACGACCATCTGGAAAGAGAATAAGCGGATGATCATGTTAATTTGAGTTTGTAAAGAGTGAGTGCAAAGTTCAACAACTTACAGGCTGACTGGAAAACCAGAGCGGTCAGAACCACCAGGAGGAGGCCTAAACGCATTTTGGAATTTGAAGTGTGGAAGAGTTCACAATACAAAAGTGTCCTTGTGCTTCTGCTATTTGTATGGCTATGCACAAAATTGCCAGAACACAACTGATGCCATTCTGAACGGCGACCTCGGATTTTATATGTTTCTGCTACTTCGGCCGACTTGTAGGGCCAACAACAATGGATAGTTCTTTTGACACGCCCGCCCGGTCAATTTCATAAATTCGCACACTTTTTTGCAAGCGTCGGAATTTCTTTGCATAGCATTACCTCGCTGGCTTTCCCTGCGTCCCAAGCCCAAGACGACCCGAACTTTAGACAACATTAACATCGATGACCCAAAAAATATTTTTGCATATAAATTTCTTGCGAAAATGTCCAATCAACAAAGTTCGCAAAATACGTAGAATGGCAAACCACCTGCCTATTTGCATATCTCGCAGCATCTAAACTAGAGGCGTCTGCTACCGAGAACAAGATAGGCAATTGATATGCTAAATTATTGATACAATTTCTAGGGAGAATTGGTGTTGTTAATATTTTTGTTTTGGTTTTGTTCGTTGGAATAGCAAAGAAGATCACGCTGGTATTCGCGAAATTTGATTTTACAGTTATTTCTAAAAATTTTGCAAAAATTCATATTAACATACAAAGATATGTTTTATTTTATCAGGTCAGTTAGTAAATATTTATGAGAAGATACTATTTTTGTCTCGAAGTCGTTGCTATGGAATTGTGAATGAAAAAAATGTTAAACAAAATCCAAGAAATGTTTGACGAAAATTTATTTGTAATTCAAAAGCAATGGAAGTGATTGTTTTATAATTTCAAAAAAAAAAATATATATAATTTATTAAACATTTAATGTAATTATTTGGTAAAATAAACCAATGTTCGTATTTTAGTTGGTTTGTTTGCGTCTCGATCACGCAAAGACCACTAAAATGATTTCGTGGGAATTTTTACTACTGGAGTGTTTTGATTTGTTCAAAATTTCGGCACTTACAATATTAATATTGTAGAGCAGAGATCTGGACCGTTGACCGGATTTTTCCGACATTTTCACAGTATGCTACTGGTGAACTGAAAGTAACATAAGCTATATACATTTTCTGGATACGTTTGTTTAGATGCAGAAAAATATATTTAATTTCCGAACAATGTAAGTTTTCAATGTCAAGTAAAACTGCCGGGGCAAACTTTTTATACCCTACTCCTTGAAAATTTTCAAAAAAAAAAAAAAAATCCGTCGAAAACTACCGCTCAAATAGAACTCTTTATATGGGGGATCTACGAAGACGTGGTGCTGGATAAGTAATTTTCTTTCATAGGCTGTAGTAACGAATCCGAACTTCAAATATGAAATTCGAAACAATTCCGATGAATAATGTCGCTAATATCATCAAAATACCGAATAAAGGCAGGCACCGTTGTATGGGGGCTATAGTAAGACGTGGACCTGCATAGACAATTTTCCGTCATAGGTAGTATTCATTTCGAACTTCAAATTTGACGAAATTCCAGTGAAAAATGTCGCGAAAATTCTGGAAATACCGAATACCTCGGTGTAGCGTTATACGGGTGTTGTACTAAACCTAGACCTCTTCCTCTCTCATTCTCTTCCAGGGAGTAAAGTACTCACAGAGAACTCCTCGAGTAGAATTTCAGAGAATGTCATTGAAAAATGTGCCTAAAATCATCAAAATACTGAAAATTGGGGAGGGGGTGGGTTTCCGTTATATGGAGGCCATTCGATATCGTGGACCGATATAGCTTATTCTCGAACTTAACCTGCCTGCACATAATAGACTGATTTCTGCAAAATTTTACCTTCCTATCTTAATTCGTTTTGACAGGACAGGGCTAAATCGTCTCAGAATTTTACTATTTAGAATTTTATATTTAATCCCTTTATTGTTGTTTTTATAAAAACAACGTTTGTTTATTTAACCAGGGGGTAAGGCAGGGAATGCCTAGGGATTAAGCCTGACCATTTTGCAACAACAAAATACTATAGTATACCGAACAAAATAGCCAACACTGTTCTATGATCAAGAATATATAATAATATATATGGTCTAAAATTATTATTTCCATGAGTTACAAACGGAATAACGATCTTAATATGCTATGTATGGTGGAGGGTACAGTCAATATCTGTCGATGAAATCTATCAAACGTAGACCTGAACTAATAATTTTATTTAATTTCAAATAATTGACCTATTCGAAAAATGTTGCCGAAATTAGGTGGGAAACTTTCAAAATATTGTCTTCAATATGCTAATGCTCCAGGTATCCTTTTTTCAGCGCACATTTCAGGTCAATAAGCTTGCTTCGAGTTACATGAAGTCACTTTAAAAATGTCATAAAATTCCACGATATTAAATGTCTAAGTCTTACCTAAACGCATCTTAGAGCTAAAGCCGTATTTCATGTGAGTTTATGCAAAAGACTCCTACTAAGCATCCTTTTAGAAGGATGACATTAAAGTCAAAAGTATTTTCATCTATTTTTACTGAAAGTCTCTAAAGCCATGAAATCCATATTTTTATTTTATATAAAAAAATATTTGTATCAAAGTTCCCAAAAAATACGAAAATATTTCCTAATTTTGTGATAATCATCTGCTAAATCGAATGCTACCCTGGCAACCCCTTTTCTGAAGTTTTTGACCATGTCAGTTTTTAAATAAATATTCTGTTCCAGAAGTGCAAGAATGTAAAAATTGTATACAACTATAACCGATTTTTCTTTATGATATCGAAAAAAAAGTTGCAAAACAAGGAGATTCTTGCAGGTACTATAACAAAACTAAAATATAAAATATAAAAATACTATAACAAAACTAAAATATTTACGCATGACGATCGGCATATTTTTTTTTTTTACAAAACATTTTAAAGTCATAATGTTTAAATGTTTTTTTTGTGAAAAAAATGTTCACCTGTGACAAAATCTCATTGTCCACAAACCAGAGATAGAACACCTTTTCGATGCAGTAAAATTTGACAAGATAAATTACAGAAAATACAAAGATGGGCATGCTTATTTGAAATTACTTTACCTTTTAATTTTAACATGGATTAAACAAAGATTTTAAATCCCCCGTGCTGCAAGTTCTAGTATAATCCTCGAATGTCGTTTTATTTTATGTCAGTCTTTAGGACTAAAAGCTAATGTTCGATTATTTAAACATATTTTGATTTCTGTTATGATAATTCAAACTGTTGACCCTTTATTGAGTGGGTTCCGAAGTAATGGGCCAATATTGTCTATTTCGTATCGCACCTAAATAAATACGATATAAATATTCACTTCACTTTACATGACACAGGTGATAATTTTTAGAAAATGTTAACATGTGCGTGTGGTACCAGGTATAGTCGACAGAAGTTTTCCTTATTCATGCAGTAGTATTCCATTTTCTAATACATATAAAAATATTGGAATGGGCAAATCGAACATTTATATCCAATTTATGAGAAATCATACATTCCAAATTCATCTCAGGCTTCCGGTCGAGAGAAATATTTAGATATAGCAAGCTATAAAGAATCGTTGAATTGTTTTGCAAGTTATGACAGATGAAAGTATTGAAAATTGTAACCCTTTGTGGGTGAGGTACCAGAAGGGGTTCGCAGATATATATCATCTTCATAACAGATCTTGTGTTAGCAAAAATGTTTGTATGTGTGAAATTTGAGGAGAGTTCGATGCTTATTTCGTTTTCTTTGAGCGTTTTGTTTTTCAAAATCTTGAATATGTGACAAAAAGCAAAAGAAATGGTTCGATATCTACCATCTTTATAACAGATCTTGTGTTGATGGAAATATTGAGATGTACCAAGTCTGGAATGGAATCGGATGTTAATTTCCCATCCCATCTTCACAACAGATCTTGTGTTCGTAGAAATAATGGGATGTATGAAATATAAAGAGAACCTGATGTTTATTTTGCGTTTTATGACCTTCATGGCTATTCAAAATTTTGGCCCTTTGTAGGAGAGGTACCAGAAGGAATGGTCCGATCTCTACCGTCTTTATAACAAATCCTGTATTGATGGAAATATTTTTTGTGGGGGAGGGACCAGAAGGAGTGGATCGATATATTCCATCTTAGCACCAAATCTTGAGTTTACAAAAAATACTGGAATGTGTGAAATTTTAAGACAATCGGATTCTTACATCACATTTATTAAGAGTTGTAATTATTAAAAATGTTGACATTTTGTGGGGAAAGCACTTGATGGAGTGGATCCATTTTTGCACTTGACCGAGAACTGAGGCAAATATTAGGATTTGCAAAGTCGGAGCAAAATCGGATTATCATTTCTCTTTGTGTGCAGAAAATCTATTTTTTTCAAAATTTCCATCTTTAGAGTGGGAGGTTCGAACTCGTTCTAAGTTTGACAAAAATATTACGATGTACCAAGTTTGGACCAAATCGGATACTTCTTCTACAATTTTCGTGTGCACAAGCCAAACAGACGGATGGATGGACATCGCCGGATCGACTCGAAATGTATATGAAGACATCTTGCGCTGACAATTTTTAACAATGAAATTGAGGCCAATTCGACTAAAAAATTGGGATGACAATCTTCTACCACTATAACAGCAAAACAAGCCGATCATCATAATTTCCTAGCTGTCGCACAATAATACTTTGAAACAAAATTCAACCATTCCATAATCAAGCCTACATGACTTTTGAGATTAATATTACAGTTTTCATATTCTCCCTTGACTTGTATGCCCTCGTGAAAATTACAAAATTTGTGATCGGAAATAAATCTAAATTTCTTGCCAGCTGTAAGCTCATATTAAAGGGAGAAGTACAACATTTAAATTTGAAAATTTATTGACATCAACCTAGACCCTACAAACTATATATATTCTGGATCAGCGTAAAATTCTAAGACGATCTAGCGATGTCCATGTGCCTCTCTGTTGTAATCACGCTTTCGAACGAATTGAGATAGAAAGCTAAAGTTTTGCATACATGCATAGTTTATCAGTAGGCAGGTTAAATTCGTAAACGGGTCATAGCCCGTTTTCGTATAGCTGCATTATTTACCGGAATTATTTCAACATACGGCAAAAAATTTCGTATGAAGGTCCACGTCTTCGTATAGCCCCATCTGACGGTACCGCCTGATACTCGGTATATTACTGATTTTAGCGACATTATTCACTGGAACTGTTTAAAATTTCGTATTTGAAGTTCATAATGGGTACTACAGCCTATGACAAAAATGAAGTCTTCGTTTAGTCCCCATATAACGGAGGATATTAAAAGTTCAGCCCGGGAAAACTTAGCTGCTTTTTTACTTGTTCCAATTTTAAATCGGTACCTTAGAAAAATTATATAGAAAGTGAAAGAAAAACTAAATTTGTAAATATAAAATCCCTAATGGTGGATGCTATTAAAAGTTCGGCCCCGCCGAACTTAACTTTTTATACCATACACCACAAGGTGGTCAGGGTATTATGTCTTTGTGCATTTGTTTGTAACAGGCAAAAGGAAACGAGATAGACCCATAGTTCCTTTTGATGATCTGCATAGAATCACTTTCTGAGTTGATTTATGCATGTCAGTCCGTCTGTCTGTCCGTCCGTCCGTCTGTCCATGTATTCTTGTGAACACAATGCAGGTCGCATTTATTATCCGATTGAGATGAAATTTTGCAAACAACATTTGTTTGGCCCAAGGATGAACCCTATTGAAATTGGAGATAATCGGTAAAAATTTAGATATAGCTCCCATATATATATTCGTCCGATTTGCCTTTTATTGTGCACCAAACGTGTAATATCAGCCCGAATAGTATGGAATTTTGCACATACAACCAAATTAGGTCTGAAAATAAGTATGCCAAATTTTATCGAAATCGGTTCAGATATAGCTATATATTATATATTTCCCATATATATTGTTCATCCGATTGTTTATTTTTGTCCTCCGCAGCCGTAATATACACTCTGTAACAACAATATTTGGGGAAATATATCAAATGCAGCTCAGAAATACCTTTGCTAAATTTTATCGAGGTCGCTTCAGATTTGGATATAGCTCCCATATATAACTTCGTCCGATTTACCATTTATTGTGCACCAAACGTCTAATATTTGTCCAAATGGGATGGAATTTGGCACATACGACCGAATTTAGTCTAGAAGGTAGTATGCCAAATTTGGTTCAGATATAGCTATAGCTACCATATATACTGTTCATCCGATTTGTCATATTTGTTACCACAGCCGTAATATGCACTCCGTAACAACGATATTCAGGGAAATATATCAAATACGTCTCAGAAATATCTTTGCCAAATTTTATCGAGATCGGTTCAGATTTGGATATAGTTCCCATATATATTTTTATCCGATTTCAAATTAATTTCGCACCAAATGGGCAAAACAAGTCCGAATTTAAAAGATACAAATGCTTCGGCATATTTAGTCCTTTTAATTTAAAATTATAATTATAATCATAGCGTGTATGATTGAATTCTCCCATAAAAACTTTTAATTATTAAGTGGAGTTCAACTAAATTAGCAAAGTGGTGTAGGGTATCATAAAATCGGCCCCGCCCGACTTTAGGACTTTCTTTACTGGTTTTCGTGTTGAGATACATATGTATCTCTGCCACACAGACGGATCTACGGATGTTGACTATCCATCGACCCAAAATGTCAAGAGTTTTATACTCGTTGGCCACATAGAAGTACGTTTGTAGTTATTTCCATAGAATTTTGTTATATCAAACAAATCAAAAATATTGATAAGAATAATGACCAAAAAGTTGAAATCCCTGTTGAAGATCATTCCGGCATTCTATTTAAGTAAATTCATCGAAAAAAATTCTGTCTTCTTTCTGTTTCTTAAACTTTAAAATACTTTAATAAATCCATCGCTTGGTGCTAAAGTTTTCCCTATATCTGTAAGACATCATTTAAAGAAGAGAATTCAAGAGAACGATTTGAAATCAGTAAAATAAATGGAAAACCGGAGAAAATTTAACCAAAACATTAAGAAAATTAAAAATTTCCGACTATACCAAGAAGATTTTCCGACTTTGGTTGTAGCTAAATTGATTCTTAAAAATATTCTAAAGAAATATTAAATATCTGATAGCTGTCGATATCGCAAAATCCAGAAATACTAACTTGAATCTGAAATCTGACAAAGCTATTTAAAAGTACATCTTGTGAGATATACCTTCAAAATCCTGGGCATTCCTAACTTCTTATAACACCATTGGCCCAACCAAAATATAACTTTCATTTATTTTAATTTCCATATATCTTTATTCCATCAATTGTCTGATTATCAACATTTGCAGATGCTAGCCAGTTCACCTCAATTGCGGCCACGATTTCTAGCCCTAAACTTTCGTAAACGACGTCTGGTCTGCAGACGATGACGTCTCCTGCGAAGTCTTTGCCTGCGACGGTGTTTGCGCAAACGTCTTCTCATTTGTCTTTGCTTGCGTCTCCTTTGACGCAGGCGTCTTTGACGGCGACGTTTAGCTTGCACACGACGTATTCTTTGAATTCCGCGACGTCTTCTAGCCATTGACCTTAAAATCCTTTGTCTACGACGTTGTGTCTGAGATTTGGTTAGTTGACGATAACGTTGATGGTTTTGCAATTTTCTCCTGCTGCTAGCCCTTCTTCTCTGTTGTTTATGGCGACGTCGAGTTGCAAGCATTTGACGACGGCGTATCCTGCGCTCACGTTGTCTTCGTTGTAAAAATCGTTTGTATGAGTTGGGGGATGATGTTCTTTGTCTTGTTCTAATGCCATTTTTCCTTTTCGATACACGGGAGTATTCTTCTTCTTCGTCGTCGTCATCATCATCATCGTCGTACTCTTCGTCGTCTTCATCATCGTTACTATCTTCAGAGTCCTCTTCATAATCTCTTTTGGACTTGCGACGGCCTGCACCATCTGCTGGAGCACCATCTGCTGGAGCTCCATCTGCTGGGGCACCATCTGCTGGAGCACCATCTGGTGGTCCTGCTGGTGGACCAGCTGGAGGGCCAGCTGGTGGAGTTGCCGGTGGTGTTCCAGGTGGGGTTGCCGGTGGTGTTGCTGGAGGCGTTGCTGTTGGTGTTGTTGGAGTTGGGGGCGGTGGTGCCAGAGTGGGGGTTGTTGGAGAAGTTGTTTCTGGCGTGGTTCCTATATTTGTAATGGTGGGTATGGTAGATGTTGGTGGTGAAGCTGTGGGTGTTGTTGTCATTGTCGTAGTAGTTGGAGCAAGGGTGGTTGTTGTTGTCGTGCCCTTTCCCAACTTCTCGAGAATTTGATTATTAAAACGTGGAGAACTTTGGCCACTACCAGCCGAACGTTGTTCATTGTTCTGATATAAACTGTACCGATGATTACCTCGATTTACACCTTTGGCGGCTGGAAGAGAACAGGAGAGATTGGTTGTTATTTTCCAATTTTTGGCTACAAATCGAGCATAAACTTACCTGTCGACTGCAGGACCGCGGCTGTGCACAGGAGTAGTGCACACAGCAGTTGCTTGTAATTCATTTTCGCAATTTTTGCCAAGTTCCACAAAAGTCACTCACGTTTGACAAACTGCAGCTAACTGATGCTGGAGACATTCTGAGCATCGTTTTTATGTCTCAGATAATTTGTCTGTTTTCTTTCTAAAAATCCATTATTTTTACAAAATTTCCGAGGCCTTCATTAAATTTCACCTTAATGAAAACCTGCTGTAAGTCGAAATCTTACTAATTCGAAATAATAATTAGCCGTCATCATTAAGAAATATATCACCCTTTGATTTTAGAATACTTGTTGACACTAAAGAAAACAATTTCTAATAAATGAAAGTGGTACTTTTAATTATCTTAAATTGGCGGCAGGTTAGTGTAGGTCACGTACGACTTGGATTTAGTAAACAATTTACTGAAAAGAACATTAAAGAGGGATCGAACTTTGCACTAACCGATTACCTTCTAAGCTTTATGCGAATGAGTAAATATCCAATACAAGAACCAGAGAAAGCTTAACTGTGACGAGTGTATAAAGTAATATGGCAACTACCAGAGCTGAATAAGCGGCTTAGCTTTACGTGAACATTGAACGATGGAACTTCGAATGAGCTGTGAACTAAAATGGCACGAAAATGAACTATTTTCCGACTATCGTCCGAATCATGCTGAATGGTGAACGAATGAATATAATGAATGTTATATAGAACAGTGTTGGCATGTTTGTTCGGAATACCATAGTATTTTGTTATGGCAAAATAGTCGAGTCGATCTAGTCTGGCTGGAGCGCACGATAACTTTCGAAGGCAGTATCCGATTTGGTCCAAACTTGGTGAATCGTAATATTTTTGTTAAACTTAGATCGAGTTCAGAGATGGGCAATATCGGTCCACTCCTTCTGGTACCTCCCCCACAAAAGGTCGAAATTTTCACAAAATATATTTTCTGCACAGAAAGAACACGATAACTTTCGAAGGCAGTATCCGATTTGGTCCAAACTTGGTGAATCGTAATATTTTTGTTAAACTTAGATCGAGTTCAGAGATGGGCAATATCGGTCCACTCCTTCTGGTACCTCCCCCACAAAAGGTCGAAATTTTCACAAAATATATTTTCTGCACAGAAAGATAAACGTAAACCGATTTTTTCCAACTTTGCAAATTCTAATCTTTCGTTAGTTCTGATCAGGTGCGAAAATGGAAAATATCGGGCCACTTTATCAAATGTGTTCCCAACAAAGGGTCAAAATTTGGAATACTTACAACTCTTATAAAATGTGATGTAAGAGTCCGATTGTCTTCAAATTTCATACATCGCAATAATTTTACAAACCAAGGTCTGGTGTTAAGATGGAATATATCGGTCGACTCGATCTGGTGCCTCCCACCCAAAAAGGTCGACATTTTCAAAAAAAAAAGTGAATATTTTCTGCACAGAAAGAGAAGCAATAATCCGATTTTGCCCCAATAATCCGGATTTGCTCCATCTTGCTAATATTTGACTTAGTTCTCGGTCAGGTGCAAAAATGGATAATATCGGTCTACTCCATCAAGTGTTTCCCACACAAAGGTTCAAAATTTTTAATAGTTATAATTCTTAAAAAATGTGATGTAAGAATCCGATTGTCTTAAAATTTTACACATTCCAATATTTTTGTAAACTCAAGATTTGGTGCTAACATGTAACAAAACGTTTATAAAATAATAAGCATCAGGTTCTCTTTACATCCACACATCCCATTATTTCCACTAACAAAAGATATGTTGTGAAGATGGAATATATCGGCCCATTCCTTTCGGTACCTCCACACAAAGGCGCAAAATTTTGACTATCCACGAAGTTCATAAAAGTGAAATTAACATCCGATTGCATTCAAAACTTGGTACATCTCAATATTTCCATCAACACAAGATCTGTTATAAAGATGCTAGAGATTTGACTATTTATTTTGCTTTCTGTCTACATAGGGTTCAAGATTTTGAAAAAAAAAAACGCTCAAAGAAAGTTTCTTCAACACTCTTCAGATTTCACACACACAAACACTTATGCTAATGCAATATCTGTTGTGCAGAACATTGGCTAAGAGTATGCATCTGACCGATACTTTTTTACCTGTTTTTTATAACCTACAACACTATGTGTTGGGGGTATTATAAGTTTGATTGGGCCAAAAATTATGTAACACCTCGAAATATTGGTTTCCCACATAGGAAAGTATATATGGATCTTCCTATCTCGCCGAGTTGAGTCGATCTAGCTATGTCTGTCCGTCGGTCCGTCTGTCCACATTAATTTGTAATCAATATACAGGTCGCAATAATTTCCCGATCTTTACGAAATTAAGAACAGAGATAGGGTAAGGGTCAGAATAGAACCCTATTGTTTTTGGAGATAATTGCATAATACTTAGGGGTTGAAATGGACCAAAAATTGAAAAATTTCCTAATTTTGCAGTTGCTCTACAGGTCGCAATTATGGACCAATCGAAGCGTAACATAGCATTGGGCTAGAGCTTAGGGCTGGGCAGAAGCCTTCCAATTTGGATGGTCATCGGGTAATATTTAGCGGGTGAAATAGATCATAACATTAGTGTTAAATAAAAGTCAACTTTTTCATTAAACAGGTCAATGCTAACCGTTACTTCGATGCCGATAGTAAATGCATCGGATATATGCAGCGAAATATATACAATGTATTTATATAAAGGAAGGGGATGTTAGCTAGAATGCTTATATCTCAAGAATGGCTGGACCTATTGTGACAAATTTTGTCAATTCAGAATGCCCTATTGGCATAAAAGTATAAAATCTAAAACATTCGCCAATATTGATTTTGTAGCATTTTGTGACATTTTTTTTATATTTTTCATATTTTTTATCGCATGCGATTCTTTTCAATTTGACTTATAATATTGAAGTGTACATTTTGTAATATTTTTTCACCTTACAACACAGGTTGGTGTTATATTGCAATTATTATCCGATCCTCACGAAAATTTTTACAAGGCTAGGGTAAGGCTCAGGAGGGATGGGCCTATTGGTTTTAAAGGTGTCCGCAATATATTTGGGAGTTGAAATGGACCAACAGCTAAAAATGTTCCTGATTTGCAACCGTTGTAAAGGTCACAAATAGAAACCAAAGGACACGAAATCTCGCATGAAGTTAGAGTTTAGGACAGCAAGTAGAATAGGCCACTATTTGTGAAAAAATACCAGCATTACTTACAGGCGATATCCGAAATACACAAAAGCCGAACTTCTGTTTTTTATGCTGATTTCGTTGACGAATATAGCCAAATATTGTAGACAAGCAAATCATATAGATGAGTCTAAATTTGGAGATACAGCGGGGCCTTTTGGAGATGATCGCAAAAAGATAGGGGTTCAAATGAACCAAAAACTGAAAAAAATTTCCTGATCACACAATTGAAGCCACGCCTGAGAAGAGAGTTAAGAACAGGGAAGGATTCTAGCATTTTGGATGGAAAATGGACCACAACATCTAACAGCATGACGGAGTGCTTAAATATTGGGCAAATGTCCCTGGTCAGTGCTCCGTGACATAATTTCAAAAGCGAAATCTTCTAAAATCGATCTGGATATAAGGGGGCTTCTAACATATTGTAGTGTTGTAGGGTGTCACACGGTCGGCCCCGCACGACTATAGCCTTAGCTTTCTTGTTTCTTTTTATTTTCGACAAATTTAAAAATTTATTTCTCTGCAAATTAATATTTCTTCAATTTTCACGGTTCAATAGGGCAATAGGGTATGTGGGCAATTCCATTACCTATATTGCTCGAAGAATCATTGTCTTAGAAAATGGGCATATAGGTTTATGTTATATGCAATCAAAGCTTATTGGTATGTAATCAATGATGATTGAAATTGAAAATGGGCTAAATTGGTCCACGTTTAGGTCTAACCCCTGTATAACGGTATCTCCAGATTTTCGGAATTTAGAAGGTTTCTGCCACAATTTCCAACCAAATTAGCTGAAACTTGACAATTGGGGTTCTCTGTAGGTCTGTTCTCTCCTTTCAAAAAATGGTCGATTCAGGTCCACTAATTGGTAAAGCGTTCATATAACGATACCGCCCAATATTCGGTATTTTGATGGTTTCTGCCACAATATACAAAATATGGGTTTTGCTATTTGGGTTATGTTAATTAAAACAGATTGATATTCTAAGTTCACATATTCCATGCTTTTAATAATTTCATTTTACTTTGATAAAGACATTGCTGGAGGGTATAAAAAGTACGTCCTATTTTATTTTTTTCCGTCCAATTTTGTTAATTTGGTATCGAGTATATCAAACTGTGCTAGAGGTTGTTATGTCTTTGTACGTTTTTTTGGAACAAGCAGCAGGAAACCAAGTACTAAAATTTCCGTTTGATGATTTTCATAGAATCACATTCTGAGTCGGTTTATGCATATCTGCCCGACTTCATTTTTGAAAACAAAGTACAGGTCGATTGAGATGAAATTTTCCACTAATCATGTGTTTGGCCCAAAGATGAACTCTTTTAAATCGGTTCAAATTTATATATAGCTCTCATATACATCTTGGAACGATTTCGTCCGAAATTTCGATCGAATTCAGCCTAGAGGACACATATAGATATGCCTCCCATATGTATGTTTCATCTGTCGACAAGGTCTACAGAGTTCCGGATCGATTTCTCTATAATTGTGACCTATAGAGCGAATACAAATCGTTTTACAAAGCTACATAAATTTGTAATTGATGCAATTATGGTGTTTTAGATTTGTTCAAAGAAAAATCTGTGAATTTGGGTTATGAGCTAAAACTCAAGAACGTGATATTAACTACTTACGCAATAGTTCTCAATATTAAGTTAAAGCTTAGGAAGATTATTACGTTTTTCTGTGAAAATGCGGTGACAAAAGTCATAAACCCAAGACCAAGTTAGAAGTTAGGTCCGTGAATGTAAAACTTTCAAAACACTGTCCGGAGCCACCCGAAAATTGTTTACATAACATATATCGTTTCCAGAATGCTTTTCGAATTCTAACAATAAAAAATCATTTAAAACATACCTCTGATATCCTGGCATTCTCATTCTCTTTTACCATCCTTGCCCCAACCAAAAGGAAACGACCAAAATTTTATTTTTAATTTTTCTCTTTTTTTATTCCATCGAAAGTTTGATCATATACATTTGTAGTTCCAAGTCTGTGGGGCTCAACCGCGGCGACGATTTCTAACCCTGAATAGTCGTAAACGACGTCTGGTCTGTAGACGATGACGTCTCCGGCGAAGTCTTTGCATGCGACGGAATTTGCGCAAACGTTTCCTCATTTGACGTTGTCTACGTCTCCTTAGGCGACGGCGGCGTAAACGGCGACGTCTAGCTTGCATACGGCGTCTCCTTTGCATACGACGACGTCGTCTAGCGATCGACCTCAGAATCCTTTGTCGACGACGTTGTATCTGAGCTTTGGTTAGTTGACGATTGCGTTGATGTTTTTGCATTTTTCTCCTCCTGATGGCCGTTCTTCTCTGCTTCCTAAAGCGACGTCGGGCTGCAAGCATTTGGCGACGGCGTATTCTGCGCTCACGTCGTCGGCGTTGTAAAAATCTCCTGTAGGAGTAAGCGGATGATGCTCTTTGCCTTGGTCTCATGCCATTATTCCTTCTCGATACACCGGTGTGTTTCTCTTCGTCATCCTCATCATCATCGTCGTCATAATCATCGTCGTTCTCTTCGTCGTCGTCGTCGTCTTCATCATCATCTTCGTCTTTGTTTGAACGGAATTTTGCAAGTTCGTCACTATCTAACTTTGCAGAGTTCTCTTCATCGTCTTCGTTTGAAATACGACGGCCGGCTGGTGCACCGTCTGGTGCACCGGCTGGTGCACCGTCTGGTGCACCGGCTGGAGGACCTGCAGGAGGACCTGCTGGTGGACCGGCAGGTGGACCTGCTGCTGGAGGGGTTGCAGGTGGAGTTGCAGGTGGTGTTGCAGGCGGTGTTGCTGTTGGAGTTGCTGGTGGCGTTGCTGGTGGTGTAGCAGTGGGCGAAGGTGCCGGTGTGGGCGCTGTTGGTGTGGTCGGTGGTGATGGTGGTATTGTCATGGTGGGTGTAGTGGCTGTTGGTGTGGTAAGTGTTGGCGTGGTCATTGTTGTGGTTGTTGGAGCAAGGGTGGTTGTTGTTGTCGTGCCCTTTCCCAACTTCTCGAGAATTTGATCATTGAAACGTGGATCATTTTGCCCGCTTCCAGCCGAACGTTGTTCGTTGACCTGATATAACCTATATCGAGGATTAGCTCGACCCACATTATTGGCCGCTGCAAAAAGAAAATGGGATAATGATTGTTAAATTTCATTTGCGCTTCGGGGTGGAGCATAAACTTACCAGCCGACTGAAGGACGACGGCTGTGCACAGCAGCAGTGCACACAGCAGTTGCTTGTAATTCATGTTCGCGATTCGTTGCGAGTCTCTGCACTTGAAGTCGCTTAAAGGGTTACTAACATTTGGCAAACTGGAACTGACTGATGTTGGAATCGTTCTTGGCACCTTTTATATATTTGCAGATAATTTGTGTGTTTTCTTCCCCACAATTCCATCATTTTCACATCATTTCTGAGGCCGTAATTAATTTTCACCTCGAAGAAAGCCAGCGGTATGTCAAAGTTTTACCCACAACACGACACGAAATGACGACTAGCGGTCATCATTAATCAACTAATCAATTGGGTTTGTTATGAAAAGAAGTTAATAACTTGTGTCTTGGCGGATCATCTTCGTTGGTTAGAAAACTCCAGTTATTGGCACACAAAAATAAAGGAAAAGAAAGCCATTTCTATCCAGTAACTGAAAATATTAATTAATTGTACAAATTTTAATCGATATTTTTTTTCAAACAAAAGTAAGAACAAAAGATGCTAATTTTTATACTGCGAACGGTGTATGGAAATTTTAGAACAGCCTATAGCTGTTAGAGCGTTTCATTTTGAATTCATGCTCCAGGCTATGATACTTTGTTTCATAATTCCATTTCTTGGCTTGGTATTTACTCAGTTGTCCATTATTATAACAAAACTATTTGGGACAAAAATAAAATAAGACATTAATTTTGTATAATACAAACTTAAAGAAAACATGCAAAAAATTGGTGAGGTGAAGTTATGGCATGAAGGGAGGTATAACAAAAACAAGTAAGCAAAGGCTATAGTCGTGCGGGGCCGACCATGTGATACCCTACAACACTACAATATGTTCGAAGTCCCCTTATATCCACATCCATTTTGGAAGATTTTGTTTTTGAAGTAATGTCAAAGAGCCCCGCTCAGAGGTTACCCTTAGTTTTTTTTTTGACGCGGAGAATTTGACTTCTACACTGTCCTTAACTCTCTTCTGATGCAAAATTCCGTGTCGATTAGTTTTCAATTGTGGCCTATTGAGCGACTACAAAATTACAAAAAAATAATTTTTTTTAGTCTATTTGCACCTGGGAATGCATATCTTAAGAACAATAGGCTTTAATTCTGACCCTAACCCTACCCCTATGCAAAATTTTGTGAGGATCAGACGATAATTGCGATATGCATATAATACCATCAAAACGCAGTGTTAGAGGGTGTAAAAATTTAGAAAATGTACAATTCAAAATTCTAAGTCAAATTGAAAAAATATTCACTTGTTTATTGGCATATTTTCCCATGATTTTCTTAGATTTTATCGTTTTGTGGGAAGAGACTATTCCGAATTGATGGGAATTGTGAAAATCGGCCCAGCGGTTCTTGATTTATAAGCAGAATAAATAAGATCAATTCTTTTACATATATTGTACCTATTTTGCTATATATCCGATGTCTTGGCTATTAGCATCAATCTAACGATCAGAAGTTATCTTTTAATGTTTTTGTGAATTGGCTGATATTGAAAATATTCGCGGCTTAGCGGACATTTTCCTATTTTCTTACGTAAAAGTTAGGGTCTATTTTACCCGCTAATTATTGTCCGATGGCTGCCCGAATTGGTAGCTTTCTGCCCACTCCTAAACTCAAACTTCATGTAAATTTTCCCGTCGATTGGTTCATAATTGTGGCCTATAGAGCAACTGCAAAATCAGGAATTTTTTCTGTTTTTAGTCCATTTCAACCCCTAAATATCGTGCGATCATCTCCAAAAACAATAGGGTTCTATTCTAACCATAACCCAACCTCCATTTTCAATTTCATGAGGATCGGTTCATAATTGCGACCTGTAGCTTGATTACAAATGAACATGGACAGACGGACGGACGGACATACATAGCTAGATCGACTCTCATCCATATATACTTTCCTATGTGGGAAACCAATATTTCGAGGTATTACATAATTTTTGGCCCAATCCAACTTATAATACCCCCAACACATAGTGTTGTAGGGTGTAATAATACCCCCAACACATAGTGTTGTAAGGTATAATGATATTTAATTTATTTTTAATTTCATAAAATAAAATTGAAAACCAATGGGACAGGGACAAACGTCGAATTGGAAGAACTTAATAATACCCAACACCATTACATTTAGCGCAATTAGCACCCTAAAACAATATAAGTTTATATCGGGCATTTGTCTGAAGTAATTACGTCAACTGTGACGTGAAAGCAAAAATGTCGGAAATAGCATCAAATTTTAGAATAAATTTAGATTGGTCACCTTTGGCACGAATTATGGCCTTCAAACGGCCAATGAAACCGTCAAACGCTGCCCGAATGTTGTTCTGCGGTATTTTGGCCAATTCCCGTCAAAACGCTTGTTTGAGGTGATCGACACTTTGGTATTTTTTAGTGCCAACCTTGCTTTCCAAAATACTCCAGACACAATAGTCCAACGGATTTTTATCCGGAGATTTTGGTGGTCATTGTGCGCTGGAAATGAAGCGAGGAACCTCATTTTGTAAACATTCTTGGGTGGCGCATGCTGAGTGCAATGGTGCTGAGTCCTCTTGGAATGTCCAAGGTCTGCGGCCAATATGTTTGCGTGCCCAAGGCATTTATACACCCTCCAGAATATTTTCGCGATAATACTCGGCATTTATTCTGATGCCACTGTCGATTAATAGGAGCGGGGAACGACCATCGGTTGTTCTGGTGACCCACACCATCACCATGGTCGGCGCTTGAGTTATGGTGGCCAACCGACCTCTTTGGCAAATAAACACGATTATTTTGTTTGTTTACAAACCGCTGGACAACGAATGTTTTCTCATCGGAGACGGAGAAAACCAAATTCGGCAGTTCACCACTTTCGGCCAAGCGAAGCAACTCTTTAGCTTTTTGAGTCTATTTTCTTTCTGTTGCGGTGTAAGTTGTTGCACTTTTTAGAATTTCAATGGCTTTGCCCTGAGCTCATTTTTTAATATTTACCGAATGGAATATTGCGATTTGTTCAGCTCACGAGCCATTTTGCGGCCACAGCGGCGCGGGTTTCGATCTAGTTGATTTTTTACTTTTCGAACCATTTTTGCTGATGTTGCTGTTTTCTTCCGTCCACTTCCTTGATGTCGGGTTATGCTGACAGTATCGAGGTAACGAGCGATGGTACAGACACAAAAGATTTATTCACATTTAAATGCCGGAGTGCTCTAACGTAGCCACTTGTGGTTTTCCAGCCAAATATAAAAGAATCGCACTATCGCGCTTGAATTCCATTAAGAATAACTTTTTTCTAAGAATTCTCACCAAAATGCTTTTGTACGCTTGTAAACAATATAAAGTCACTGGAATAATTTTAACAGCTGTCGACGGAGTGGCTTAGAAATGACAGCAGTCTGAATTTGGTTGCAGCTTTTTCATGTCATCCTATATATATATATGGGTCTAAATCTATATCTGAACTGATTTTCCCCAAATTTGGTGTACCAACTTCTAGACTGATGTAACAAAATTCAGTTAATTTGAATATTGACCATTTGGGGCACAAAAAACCCCACCTCTGTTAAATGTATATATGGGAGCTATAGCTATATCTGAACCGATTTTTTCCGAATTTAATGTATTTGCTTCTAGTCTGAATTCGGTCGAATTCAGATCATTCGGACTGATATTGGCCATCGGATAAAACACATATGTGTGGGTGCTATAGCTATATCTGAACCGATTTTCTCCAAATGTGAAGTACTTATTTCTAGGCTGAATTCGGTCTGATGTGCTGAAAGATATCCTAGTTGGACGAATATTACATATTATTATATATTATTACATATTATATAGGTGCTATATCCAAATCTGATCCGATCTCGATAAAATTCGACAGAGCTCCATAAGTTATCTGGTACCAACTATGATTCTTGCGGAATGCATATTACGCATGTGAGAGACTTAAAACCCCAAATCGAATGGAACATACATATGGGAGCTATACCTATATCTGAATTCGATCGGATGTACTAAAATGGGGCACAATGTCCTGCATTTAGTACATTTAGTAGGTAGAAGTTATATATGTGAACTATATCCAAATCTGAACCGACTTTCATAAATTTTGGCAGAAATATTTCTGGGTTGTATTTGATATCTGGTACCAAATATCATACTTGCGGAGTGCATATTACGAATGTGAGGAACTTAAAACCCAAAATTCTATTAAACATATATATGGGAGCTATAGCTATACCTGAACCGATTTTCTCCAAATTTGAAGTTCATGCCTCCATACCGAATGGGGTCGGAGGTGCCAAAATTCGGATCATTTGGTCTGTTATTGGTCATTTTGTGCACAATTAAACCGAAAGCGGCGGAAGATATATATGGGAGCTGTATCTAAATTTAAACCGATTCTCACCAATTTCAATGGGGTTCTTCCTTGTGTCAAACAAATAACTTGTGCAAAACATCATCTGGATCGGGCAATAAATATACTTTGTTTACAAAAATACATGGAAGGACATACGGACTAGCATGCATAAATCGACTCAGAAAGTGATTCTGTAAAGATCTTCAAAAAGTAACTATGGGTCTATCTCGATTCTTTTTCCATGTTACAAATAAATGCACAAAGACATAATAACCTTATCACTATGTGGTGTAGGGTATAAAAATTCTGGATATTGAGAGGTACCAATTACGGAGGCGTGGGCCTGAATATATGATTTATTGTCAAGTGCCCATTAAAATCTTCAAATACAAAATTTCAAACAATTCCGATAAATAATGCTGCTGAAAACATCAAAATACCGATCAAAATACTGAAATCATCAATAATACCGAGGTCATGTTACATGGGGGCTATACGAAAATATGGACCGACATGGCTCATATACTAACTTAAAATACACATGTGTGCACAATTTTAGCCTTCTATCTAAATTCGAAAGATAGACGAACTTCGCTAAATCGATTTAGAATTTTATGCTGATCCAGAATATGTACACCTTGTAGGGTCTATCATGAGTATTTCGGGGAGTTACATAGTATAGCGGAG